CGCCATTCTTCCAGGGCTACTGTGCATGGCTACAACTTCCCGAATCAGTGAAGATTTCTGCATCATTGAAAGAATTTAAAGTGAATCTGAGGGCCTGCTGATGACTGAGTGCACCATAATAATAATACTTGCAAGTAAAAACTAATCAATATAGCTTTTCGGCTGTTTCCTTTTCATGGATATAATCTTCTCCTTCTTTTACCATGGTTGGCTATCACCCACATCTTCCCGTTTTGGCTGCCATCGGAAGCCATAAGATGTTGAATAAATAAATAAATAAATAAATAAATAGTGTGAACAGGAGGGGGCCGAGGACGGATCCTTGCGGAGCCCCTCGACGGCATGCGACGTATTCCGAACAATTTCCTCCCACAACTAAGCGTTGAAGCCGCTCGCTCAGGTAACCAGTGAACCATAGCTGAACAGTACCGCCGACCCTAATGTCGGATAGCTCCTGTGCCAAGATGGTGTGTTTGACACAGTCGAAAGCCTTTGACATATCCACGAATATCACACCTGTGAGTTTGCGCTCATACTTCGCTTTCAGCCAGCGATTTACAGCTAGCACAAGAGCGTCTTCCGTACTGTGGTTCTTCCTGTACGCGAATTGCGAGTCAGGGAGAATACTGTGATCGGTCAGAAAGGATGTAAGCTGAGCTTTGACGATCTTCTCGAGGAGGCGAGAAACGACTGGTAGTAGAGAAATAGGGCGATACGCAGTAGGCTGACAAGGGTCAAGGCCGCGACTTTTGAATAGTGGCGACACATTAGCAATTTTAAAAGGATGGGAAACACACCCCTGACATAGCGAACTATTGAAAATCATGGTGAGCGAGGGAGCCAGTATTGATGCCGAGTTTCTAAGGACAATACCCGGCAAGTCATCATGTCCAGTCGCTTTTGACGCGTCAACGGACTGGAGAAGGAATCAAACTTGGCTTTCCAACATTTAGGCCGGTTCAGCACGGAACATCATGAAGTGATATGGATATCTGTGTCAAGGGCTAGCCGGTCCAAGATTGTTATCTGTGCACTCTATCGGTCAGGCTCCAGAGCCGGGACAGACACCGAGCAGATCGAATATCTTGATGCCCACCTACGTGATGCCCGCAGCCACGGTGATTATGTTATCCTCGCAGGGGACTTCAATGTCCACAATGAAGCATGGCTAGGGAGCACCAAGACTACCTGGGCAGGGGAAGCAGCCGAGGAACTCTGCTATGTTCATGGCCTGGAGCAACATGTCAACATCCCCACACGTGGAGATACCACTCCGGATCTTGTGATGTCTGACTTCGGCGAACCGGTTGAGGTGAAATGCCATGCCCCACTGGGGTCCTCTGACCACGCTGTCCTCACTATGGACTTCCCTATCTCTGCGTTCCAAGAATCAAAACCCACACGCACTGTCTGGCGGTACAACCAAGCAGACTGGGACCGCCTTCGTTACTTTTTCCTAGCCTATGATAAGTCGTGTGCCAACATCACCGAAATTATCCTCCAGGGCATGTCACATTTCATCCCATCCCGACAACTCACATACCAGCCTACGGACCCAGCTTGGTGGACCCCTCAGTGCACCGATGTCGTGAAAGCAAAAGAGAGGGCGTGGGCTGCTGCCAGACGGCAGAAGTCAACAGCAGCGCGACAGACAGCCTCGGCAGCCACACTACGCTGTAATGACATCCTCCAGCGTGCCAAGGTGGCCCGCCTGGCTACCCTGCGCACTAAGCTCTCCAAAGCTAGCCTGAGTGACCGTTTGTAGTGGTCTACCATCAAGCAAGCAGGTGGCATCAGCAGAAACACCTCCATCGCAACTCTCACGCCGCAGCCTGGCTTGGAATGCGTATCGAATGTCGAAAAAGCTGAGTGTTTTGGGCAGTATTTCGCCTCAAAGTGCAGCCTGGGCGCCGACGACCTCCCCGCCACCCAACCTGCGACTGATTTCCCCATGTTGCTCAGCACACGGCTGAAAAGCTCTCAACGGTTCGGTTCCGCTCTGCCACGGTCAAGAGAGAACTCTGGCGCTTAAATGCATCGAAAGCTACTGGACCTGACGACATTCCAGTGCGAGTTCTGAAGATGTGTGCTGACCCCCTTAGTAATCCACTCTCCAAACTGTTCTCCCTTAGCTTCTATGGCATGGTTATGCCGACATCCTCGAAGACAGCTAGAGTCACGCCCATTCACAAAAAGAAATTCAAGGACCTGCCTCAACATCACCGACCTTTGTCTCTGCTGCCTTTAATATCCCAAGTGATTGAAAGGTTGTCAATCGCCAGATAACCAGTTTCCTGGAGTCCCACAAAGTCATCTCCGCGAAGCAGTTAGGGTTCAGAAAGAGCCTGAGCATAGCTGACGAATGGTCCACTGTGAATGGTCCATAGCAGCCGGCCTTGGAGGAGCCGCCCATGGTTTGGCGATAGATATAGCAGGCGCCTTTGATAAAGTCAGCCATGCTGGCCTACTGAACAAGGCTTCCGTGTACAGTCTAGACGGCCCGCTTATCTGATGGATGGAAAACTACCTACACAACCGGCGACTGCATGCTGTTGTGGCCGGCCAAGAGTCCTCCCTGCACCACATCCAAGCAGCGGTACCACAAGGTAGCATCCTTAGACCTACGTTATTCCTCCTGTATGTGAATGGCTGCGAGGATACCATGCCTGCTGGTGCTGAGCTTGCCACCTATGCAGATGACACGCCACTGTACCAGTGCATCTCTGCCACCGCCAGCATATCCGACTCTGCAACACAACTCCAGGAAGCAGTGGACGCCGTCTCACACTGGGTTCCAAGTGGAAGGTCATCTGCGAGCCACTCAAATCTCAGGTCCTCATCATTGACCACCGCAAGCCTACCACAGCGCTCCCACCAGTTATCTTCAATGGCGTAACTGTTCCTGAAGAGAAGGAAATCAAGCTTCTGGGCGTAATCGATTCGCCATTGTCCTACTCAGCACATCTCCGGGCCGTGGCCTCAAAGGCAGCCCAACGCCTTCACTTCGTAAAAAAAGGCTGCGCCCCTGTTGGACTCTAGCGGCCGCAAAGGCAGTCTACAAAGCTCTAAGGGCTTCGTGCTGCCAACAATGGAATACTGCTGCCTGGTGTGGATGGGGTCATGCATATCCAGGCTGGACTAAATACAGCTCAAGGCACCGAAGGTTACTAGTATTGACCCAGGAGTCTGGCTCCCGAGCCTGAAACACCGCCGACTGGTTGCTGCGCTTTCGTTCAACTTCAAGCTGTCCATCTCCCAACAACAAGCCCCCTGAAGTCCATCCTCCTACCCCAGCCAACCCCCGCCTAGTGGGTGGTCGATCCACTAGGCTAGCAACGGAGGCTGCCCACTCCCACCCGCTCCAGCTCAAGTCAACGTTGCCCGTGTGCACTCGTAGCAGCCTCCGGGGTTCCTACCCAGACTGTATTATTCCCTTGTGGAACAGCCTACCAGCGACCATCCTACCAGCAGGGCCGCAACCCAGACAGCTCCAGTCCTTCAATGAAAAGTGCCACAAGTATCTGCACCACCACCCACTGGACAGGTCATATCATGGTTGCATGCGCGTGATAATTATGATGGCAATACTCGCACCCAAAATCCGAACCAATTTCAAATCTCCCTTAGCTCACTGCACTGACTGGTCTTAGTCTTACAATGCAGGTCGTATCTTGCCGCAAGTATCATCGCTATGTGCCTTCCCTCCCTGTGATTTTTGCTGGCGGTTACTGCAAACCATTCACCAAGGGGGTCTGTGGCTCTCCGTATCTTGTAAAGAAGAAAAGAGAAGTGTTGCTTGTCCACCAACATGCAACATGGGAAATACAACGCTCCGGATATTCAACTGTTGGGTTAAAAAAAACCTCACTATCCAGTATCCGGATCATGATATATTGTAGTGTCTGTGTCTTGGTGGTTGTCAGCCGTCTCCAGGGATCCTGACCTACAAAGGCTACAAGGTCTGCTGTATGGTGTAGCGGAAGTTTCCTGGTAGGAGGAGAGCCTCCCCAGACACGTCCAAAACGCTGACAAAGGCTGTACTAGCACCTCTGACTCGAGTGATTCTGATAGTGCTGACATTCAACGGACGGCGAAACATCGCGACAGGAATATCATTATTGAAAGATCACATGCACTTCGGCCTCAGTGCAGAATGAAGCCAGATCAGGCGTAAGATGAAAGCACACCAAGGATAGGTGACCTCGTGCAGCAAAGCACTGCAAGTTAGTGCACAAGTACCTAACTTACTACCCTGACTGACACCGGCGTCCATGCATGAGAGAGAAAGAGAGAGAAAGAGAGAGAGAGAGATAGTTGTACATTCATGTACATTATTGTTCGGGCCTTTTAAATCTGGCTTTGGAAAATTATTTTTCATTGCTATCTGGTTCGGCCTCATTTTCTCTGTGCTATGCTGATGCGTCCACAAAGGACGACACCGTGAGTTCTGTCCGCAGATTGAGTATGTGCATAATTGTATTATCTTGTCAACAACACCATAAAAATCATATCTGACAGTAGAGCAAGTATGTTCACGAATCAGCCGGGTTGCCCCGTCTGAGGATGTGCTCAATGCAAATGGAAGAGCTTGCTCTTGCTGCAGGGAGGAAAGAAACTCGCTTGTTCTGGCACCAAATGCTCGCACTTCCTCTAACAAGGAAGTAGTGCAATCAATAAAGGCGATTTATCTCTCTCTCACTCTCTTTCTTTCGCACTCTCTCTCTCTCTCTCGCTCTCTCTCTCTCTCTCTCTCTCTCTCTCTTTCTCTCTTTCTCTCTTTCTCTCTTTCTCTCTTTCTCTCTTTCTCTCTCTCTCTCTCTCTCTCTCTCTCTCTCTCTCTCTCTCTCTCTCTCTCTCTCTCTCTCTCTCTCTCTCTCTCTCTCTCTCTCTCTCTCTCTCTCTCTCTCTCTCTAAATTCAGCCATCTATTATCTTTCTCCTTCATTCCCTTTGTCGGTGCTGGTAGCCTATAATTATGACTTTTACAACGGACACCGCATGCTCGTACTTGCAAGTTTTATGTTGCGTTACTGAAGCTGTCTCAGAGATTCCCTCCTTGAGTGGTAAAAGAATCGCACCAATTTAAAGGCCATAATAGAGAGGAAAAATCAAAAGTAAACTTGCAGTATAAGAAGTGACCAGGAAACCAAGATGCACGGCGATATGAGTGCTGAGTTGCTAGCTGCTAAACAGAAGACAGGGCTAAGAGGAAATGTCATACAGCACCATTACCGACGGAAGTATTAAAATGTAGTCTAAGTATGCAGAATGAATGATTGTGTTAACGTGATGACAGAACAGGTATTGTAAACTGGGGCAGCCTTGGACAGACATTAAGTATAGTGATGAACAAAAACTGGTCAAGTTTTGGTGGCCAGTGATTTTCTGAGAAGAGGTAGTAGCAAAGAAATAATTCATCAGCAGTTGACAAATTGTAGCAACCCTCCTCAAAGTATATGCAGGCGCAAAGACAAAGAAACACAGTCTGTGTTGAAACGTGAATGAGCTGGCTAGCACCATATTTTGGCACATCATTTGATTTAGAACATGGCACACTGACCATGATAATATAGAAACAAGGAAAAGACTAAAAAGCCATAATTGACATTAATTTTACAACAATCACCATGTTGGGATCTCTTGGCGCTTAACATTTTCGAGCGGGTCGTCGATACTCAACAACATGAGGTAGTAGAAGAAAATGGCAATGGCTCCTAGGAAATGCCAAAGGTCGTGGTTGTCATAGAAATCAAATATCAGGCAGTCTTGGTTCAGCTTTCGTGAGCCAGAAGGACTTTCGGCCCAGTTCGAGACGTTTGATTTGAAGAAATACCCTGCTGGGATGAAGAAGACAACAGAGGCCGCGCCATAAACAAATGTTGCACACAAACATTTTTCGCAGTGCCAAGCCTTTAAAGCGATGAAGTAATAGAGGACGTACAAGACGAGATTGGCTCCTAGCACCCCCAGCATGTATGTGGGGAAGTCCCCTGGCCTATCCGCGATGCCATATATTGCCAGGCCCAAGTTCAAAAGGAACGATAGCAGTAGATGAAAAACGCGCCGCGGATAGGTCTCCCAAAGTTTAGATCTCCCCTGCCTGGCGTCGGTGAATCTCTCTTTCAGACGTTTTTCGGCGGTGTAGTACATCCGGATGTGAACAATCAGATCAACACCCACGTAGACAATGAAGAAGATAATCCAAAACACCTGGCTGTTTCCAAGCACACCGGCAAGGACAATGACGACCACTGTGCATAGAAACGCCAGGAAATGATGTGCTGGTTTGATAGCATCCGGGTTTCGGCCCTGGTGGAGGTGCAGAAACGAGAGCACAATGATGACGTACATGAAGGATGTGTCGAACTGGAAGTTCACTGGTGTCGGGCATACGTGATAGCATGCGCTCAAAACACCCTCCAAGCACAATGCCAGGCCCAAGGCGTACAGCAGACCCTGGTGATGCAGTACACCTGTTGAAGTCAGCCGCTGGAGATTGTGCTCAACAGTGCGTGTGAATACCCTCTGACGGCGTATGGTCAGAAGAATGAACAGTATGCCGAGCAGAATGTAACCAATGTTACTGAAGACGGCGTTGAACGCTGTGAGGCGTCCATAGCGGCGATTGCAGCGGAAGTTGAAGTAGCAGAGATCCTGGTCTCCCGTTTTGAAAATGGCCTGTTGATAGTTGGCTACCAACTGTATGACTGGAACTCCGTAGTAGATGCCAACGATACCAATCAGCCAAGGTGAATTGTTGAGTTGCTTGTCAATTTTTTCAGGTGGCGTCTTCTCAACATCAGCTAAGCTCAAAGTTGGGGTCCTAGCCTTGCATGGCGGTGTGCAACGTGTATTTTCCGGTCCCTGATCCACTGCTGCCTGCTCTGTATCCGCTGCTGCCTGCTCTATATCCGTTGCTGCCTGCTCTATATCCGTTGCTGCCTGCTCTGTATCCACTGCTGCCTGCTCTGTATCCGCTGCTGCTCTTGGTGGCTGTGCAGAGGGTTGAACTTGGGCTCTAGCAGTTTCAGTTGCCGCTTCAACTTGGTCCTCGCCACCAGCAAAATGCTGGTGATTGACACTCATTGATGTCAGTTCTGGCTTGCCACTTCCTGCGCAAGGGACAGTATCTTGGGCGCCATGATAGACTGAAGCAGTGCTTCGAACCGATTCTTCTCTGCTTCGGCCTGCACCATTATTGGTGTCTGGGATCACTACATGTACATCAGAGCCTAGGATAAATCCAGCCAGCGAAACATCGCCCATATCCTTCTTATATACATAGTAGTAAATGACGAGTGTAACCAACGTTGAGAAGTAGATACCAAAGTAGATTACCAAGGGCACGATGACTGGCGTTGCATAACTTTGTGAATGCTTTGCGACTCGGATGTACACTGTTTCATTGTAGAATGGTGCCGCATCCTCTCCATCCTCGTATTGAGGACGATGCCTGGAGCTGCACTGTGCATCACTTGACAAACCCGCCAGTACAATGTAGAATGAGTCAGTTTGGAAGTCGGTGCGCTGCACCAGCAATGTTGCAGACGAGCTGAATGTTTGGTATGCGCCCGAGTACTGGATATTGCTTGCCAGGTCAAACACTGGGCACAACGCTTCTTGCACGGATGCTATGCCACAGGTTGACTCACTTGCCTCAATCTCTACTGTTACCTGGTCATCACCGGGCTGAAAGCTGTAACTGTAGTAAACTGGACTAGATGGGCTCAGGTTCACAGCATGTTTCTTTCCTCCAGCTAGGTTAAAATCGTCCACCGGCGCTGCAAGGAGTGTGTATCCAATCCTGACTTCAGTCGTGGCTGCGATTTCAACCAGCACTGTCTGATTAACGCCAGCTGTTGAGTTCTTTGTGCCATTCACTCGACCCGAGTCCGTACTGACTGGCAGATTTGGGCAAATGATTCTGGAGCTATTCTTATATGTTGCAGAACCAGGCCCCTCGGCACTGAATGGAATCGACCAGAAAATTTCTCTTGCAGCATTTCGTGATCGAACTAACACAGTCAGGTGGTGGTTCGCGCTTGCATTTCCACTGGACACGGACACGCGTAATGGACGCGGATGAGGGGTGGCGCCTGTGCCTTGTACCGGCCAGGAAACAGACGTCCATGTAAAGGAAAACGTGTCCTCGTGATTATCCCAAGCCGTGTCTTCATACACAGTGTTGATATCACCCTGGATGAGCTCCGCGGCGACGTTCACACGCTGATATAACGTCAACAGCAACAGCAGCATGCATCCTGCTGTACTGCTCAGCCGACAGCAGTCTTTCAAGGCAGACCGCCTCATCTCTCTGTTCATTGCTGGATTTCTGCTTCTTCTTCCAGTGCATGCCCATTCTACTCCTTGTGCTTTCCGCACAAAACTTCGTTGGAGAAATATGCAGTATCGGTCGATACCAGCCAGTGCTTTAAAAGAGTTTACTAAGTTAGTTAGCTCCCATTTTCCAGCGTACCTGTCGAGAGGAACACTGACAGACAAAACGTGCTAGCGACCAGGTGTCGGGTCGTACCAGAAGCTCTGTTAATGGCAACAGTCTGCCGCGGAACCACATGGCACATTCCTCTCTCTATGTCCTCAGGCTCAGAGCATTCTCCTGAGGCTGTGATGGAAAATGCACCAACCGCTAAACCACACAGAACGTGATATGCTGAGGCAGAGCCGTCTAATGAATCGATTGCAAGGGTACAAGAGTACTCGAGCCATCACTGCGGTCCTGATCACAGTACACGACAGCGTAGACATAATGGCTATTAGTATTACTGGCACCTAGAGTGCAATATTACATGTATATCTACGCTTCCGCGTGCTGTGACGATTAGGACCGCTGTGATAGACGACAGCATTGCGGTATCCGTGTAACTCGTACTGCGTGAGTTGTAGACTCTCGGCGCCGAGTTGAGCTTTATACTAGCATTCTTCACTGACGGAAAGGCACCAACGCTGACCGCACAGAACATTAATAATAATGGCATGCCAATGCAGAGCTGTCAGACTACAGTAATGTCTACACTGGCGTCTGCTGTGTTCAGGACAGTGGTCGTAGACGACAGCATAACGATGTCAGACTCGAAGACCTGCAGCTCCGATTTCCATTTCAGCTTTGAATTGTGTGTTCAGTTCTTCAGTCCCGGACTCCAGGCCAGAAATCACGGGCCCACCAGCGTCATTCGCCGCCCGAACTGTCTACCGTAAATATACAAAATTTCGGCGCTGCAAAATTTCGGCACTTCACGATTTTTGACATTTCGACAGCGATTTATTTTCGGCGTGGGGTACGAACGTAGAGGGCATGGTATAGTGCGACAGATGCTGTGAAAAATTTCATCGGCGTTTTAAAGGGGCACTCCGGCTTCATTTTCGACGCCGAGTTTTCGATGCCAAGACGAAGGTAGGTGAAAGAGAAGACACCTCGAACAAGAACGAGTCTCCAGAAGCGATCGAGTCGAGCAGGAAGACGACTTTTGAATTTCGGCCGAGCGAGCGCCGATGACGTAATGAGGGATTAGCTTGCCAGTGGAAATGCATCTGCGCACATACATTTCACACACTTATTGGCCAATTTTCAATCGAAGAAGAGGTTGTTTGCTATGTTCTCCCAACGCCGTGAGCGATCCCGTCTTCTATACCCTTCCAGGTACCCTGAAGGTCCTCCAGAGGAGAATTTATCTCCATCAAAGCGTTGTTGATCCGCTAAATTCGTCTCGAGACATATTCACCCAGTGCAGTGCTGATAAATGTAGAATGTTGAATCTGTGATAATTGTCGACGATGGAGAGAGAGGCTGATAGCCGCTGTCGCAGGGAGAGTGAAGCTGCTGGAAGTAACAACAGGGAGCCCGTTTGTATCACCTGAACAACCAGACTTCAAAGCAGCTTGACCAAATCGGAGGGTGCCTCGTTGCTTATCGTGAATATTACACCGACATGAATTACTACAAGTATACTGGTGAGTTTTTATCTTGTTTTGTTCGTATGCTAGTACCCTGGCCTGGAGTTCTCGTTAGCAAATTCCTATTCCCTGGCGTTTTCTAAACATTCCGTGTAAGACTGAATACGTGATCAAGTATTCCGATTTGGGTAAATGTGGAATTTGGACATGTATTTTATTAAAAAAATTCTTTTCCAAATAGAGCGTTTGTAGAGAAATGGTTGCCCAAATACAACAAAATTTATTCTGCAGTTCTACAACTAACTTGTACTGAAATCCAGTCGAAGTAAAAATGATTCTTCATGACAGTTGGGGTCAATGAAATCTGATCCAGGCATAACGAATGGTGGCGCCTGCCACCCCGGGAACGAATGCCCATTTGGTGGGGGATACCAAAGTACTCGAAAGTAGTGCGTGTTTCAATGTGGCATGGAAGTTTTATATGATCTCTGGTCAATGCAACATACAATAGCCATCATGAATTGCAGGCCTCGAACGCAACTCCGACCAGAATTGGCAGTTCCCTAAGTTAGATGCTTTATAATTCCATGGCCCCAGCTGTAGTTATAGAGGGTTTTTTGCACATTATTCTTATAGTCGATAGGTTTATACTGATGGCCACAAACAACGGCAGTTCAAACTTCACTGATGTGTTCATGAGCTGAGAGATTTCTCTCCACTATTTCTGTTGTGCACACAGGTTTGTCCAATATGCATTGACCGTATTGGGTATGGTACCTGCTCTGAGAAGGGAATCGCTGGAGCCACAGTCCTACTATACAGGCTTTCAAGAAACAGAGAGGAGCCATCTTTGCAAGCTGATACCTGATGTGTACCGACAGAATTCTCACGAGATACCTTACAGACTACGCCTGGTGTATACTTCATAGTACTCCTTCGACTACTGTCTAGGATCAAGTCGACTGAAGCAAGTTCAAACAACTCTGGCTTCAAACGAGCCGTCGATTAGACAAACAAAACATTCTCTCATATACTAGAGCACTCTGACAACTCACGACCTATTCCTAACGATTGCCACCGCTTATAAATATGTAGAGTACTGATTGGAATGTGCTCACAATCTCAACAATCCAGTGCTATAATTATTTGAACTATGTGTTCCTTCCATAAATGTTGTATCCACATATAATCCACAGTGCTGCAAAGTTTCAGAGTTCTCAGGGTATCAAACAAAATTATTTCAAATACAGTGAAATAGTTCGTGGACATTATAGCGTAACTTGTAGTTCCCTGGTCCTTTTCTTTGCTATAAATTAATCCTTTGCTCTCTAGCCACCGGCGAGTCCAACAGTGAAATTGTTAGTTCATATTTATGTGGGTATGTGGGGGGGGGGGGGGGGGGGGGTGAACATATTTCTATATAAGGGACCTGCAACTGTAATACCACAGTACAGTAGATAGCAAATATGTAGAAAACAGAAATGCATGTTCCCCATCATTGTACATGGACGGGCGCAGCAGGCCGAAGCTATCAGCCAGAACAGGATTTACAATCGCCTAGAGATACTTGAGCTATTCCAGTATTCTCCATGAGCTGTCCCATTCCACAGTGGTTCATGCCACCATTATTTCTGGTAGTATCCATGTGCATAATTCCAAGAACATCTCGGATTCTTCAACAATTTGTGCCACGGCAAAAGACAACGCTTGACTCGGTCACTGGGGCTGTCAAACTTCACATCACAAATGAACTTCAATTTCTCATCTGGTTCAAGTATATGTACTGCCATGACTTGACCATGCTTCATCCACAGCTGGGCGAAGATTGTGGCGTTGAATTCCATAGCGCACCTTCTTGCTGCCATGCAGGAATATGTTGAGAGAAGTGAACATATTTTTACTAAAAAAACAACAGCCACTGAAGAGGATAGCATTAGCAATAGCCTTGGGTGAATTTCCTGCAGGTACACGTTGTTGGTAGGTCTACTGGTCGGTCTCCGTATCGTCAAGTTCAGAAATCACCTGTACTACACATCTTGTAGAAGGGATCCTGATCGAAAAATTTTCTGATCATAAAATTCACTAAACTGAGGGCGAGACAAATATTCAGTACTCCCCGATTCCGTCTAGCTGCTTTGATCAAGTGATGCTAACAAGCTCCCCGTTGTTACTTCCAGCAGCTTCACTTTCCCTGCGACAGCGGCTATCAACCTTTCTGTCCATCGTCGACAATTATCACAGATTCAACATTCTACATTTGTCAGCACTGCACTGGGTGAATATGTCTCGAGACGAATTTAGCGGATCAACAACGCTTTGCTGGAGATAAATTCTCCTCTGGAGGACCTTCAGGGTACCTGGAAGGGTATAGAAGACGGGATCGCTCACGACGTTGAGAGAACATAGAAAACAACCTCCTCTTCGATTGAAAATTGGCCAAGAAGTATGTGAAATGTATGTGCGCAGATGCATTTCCACTGGCAAGCTAATCCCTCATTACGTCATCAGCCGAAATTCAAAAGTCGTCTTCCTGCTCGACTCGATCGCTTCTGGAGACTCGTTCTTGTTCGAGGGGTCTTCTCTTTCACCAACCTTCGTCTTGGCATCGAAAACTCGGCGTCGAAAATGAAGCCGGAGTGCCCCTTTAATTTAGGCGTTTTGGGTCGGTGCCGAATATAGCCGAAATTAAATAGCTGCCGAAAATTTTGTATATTTACAGTATCTCACCGTTCATAATCGCTCCGTATTTTTAGTTTTCAAAGCAACCTTTCGGCACCTCAGCTACCTTGCCCGTCAATGACCGAGTCACCATCGTGTTCAGAGCCCTCGTTTAGATAGGTTCATGGTACATGTAACGTTCTCCTCCGTAGCCGTTTTTAGCAGCTTGAAGAATTTGTGCGCAGCGGCTGAAGTCGGCTATGGAGTGCACTATTTGACGGGCTCTGCGTGACGGAGCGAGCAGACCAGTCACATTTTGCTTTATGTAAATCCGCTAATGTTCTTCACGTCAAGATACTGAAGGTGCTTGCGCAGAAGGTGATTATTTCGATGATCAATTCATCGGCATCGAAAAAGAGCACGTCCCGTCCCACATCTACATGTACGACGGTTTCTCCGTCACCCTCCAAGAACACCAAAAACCAGCATATCGCGCATACATAGTCATTCACTGTGTATGCATGCTTTCATGAGGTCCGGGAAACCCACTTTTGTGCCATTGCTCAGCATTACATGGCCTCCGACGATTGCATGCCAACTTTGTGGCCTGATAACTCCGGTTTGGGACAAGATATACCCATGAAATTTTCTGTGTGTGCTCTGCAGAGGTTTCTCTTTCCAGTCGTGTAATTTGTTGGCCCTAATTCCAATTTTAGAATTTTGGACTGAAGTCGCTAGTATTACTACGATCATCAGGCAACTGATGGATCCAAAACGGGCAGCCAGAACATTTGTAAAATAAAGATTTTCAAACGCAAACCAAAAATAACTTCAAATGAAAACTTTATAAAATAAATATTCAGAAAGTGGGGGGGGGGTTCTTCACCGGTCCCGGGAGCTAACACGAGAACATTACATGAGTTCCATCTTTGAGCTGCTTCACATGTGCACAGTGGGTAGTATCGCGAACCACAGCAAAGAAGTACTCGATTCTCGGCTTTTTTTTAGCCAAATCTCTTCCGCAATTGCAACCCCGACGACTGCTCGCTCA